TACGATTTGGAATTACATCGAGATGGATGTAAAGGCGGCATTTCTCAACGGAGACTTAGAGGAAAATGTTTACATGGCACAACCGAAAGGTTTTGTCATGGAAGGAAAAGAACATTTGGGATGCCGCCTAAAGAAATCTATTTATGGATTAAAACAAGCTTCAAGACAAGTGGTACTTGAAGTTTGATCGGAACAATAAAGAATTTTGGGTTTAAAGATAATATTGAGGACAATTGTGTCTCATAAAGTTTAAGAATGGGAAGTTTATCTTCCTTGTCCTGTATGTGGATGATATCTTACTTGCTAGTAGTGATGTCGGTCTACTCTGGAGACAAAGAAGTTTTGTCCTCAAAATTTGATATGAAAGATCTTGGTGAAGCTTCGTTCGTTCTAGGGATCGAGATTCACCGAGATAGAAAGTAAAAGGGTATTAGGACTGTCACAAAAGGCATACATAGAAAAAGTCTTAAAGAAATCAAAGTATGCACAAATGTAGTCCCTCACACTGCTCCTATAGTCAAAGGCGACAGAGATATGGGGATTTTCAATGCCCCTGGGAACCAATATGAGATCGATCAAATGAAAGTGGTTCCATATGCTTCATTTGTCGGAAGCTTGCAATATGCTCAAGTGTGTACCTGCATACGACTTGGCATTTGTTACCGGGTTACTTGGCGATTCGAACAATCACGGAATAGAACTTTGGAAATTGGTAAAGAAAGTCTTGCGTTATTTGCAAGGAATGAAAGGCCTCATGATGACATATAGAAGATCTGATTCACTCCATATAGTGGGATATTCAGATTTCGATTATCTGAGGAGATAATAGAAAATCCACGTGCGGATATGTGTTCACTCTCGCGGGGAGCTATTTCATGGAAAAGCTCAAAGCAAACCGTCACTACATCGTCCACAATGTATGCCGAGTTTGTAGCGTGTTATGAACAGCAGTAAGGTGTGGCGGCTAAAGAAGTTCATACCGGTTTGAAGGTGGTTGGCGACATCAATAGACCCTTTGAAGTTATCTGCGATAATAATCGGTGATGCAGTATGCTCACAACAATAGGTCAAGTGGTGCTGCCAAACACATTGACATAAAGTATTATGTTGTGAAGGATAAAGTCCGGGATCAAATGATAAGTCTTGAGCATATAAGTACCGAAAAGATGCTCGCGGATCCGCTTACAAAAGGCTTACCACCCAACGTGTTCGAGAGAGAACATGTAGCGGCATGGGTTTAAGGAAAGCCTATGATTCTGGACTATAAAGGGCCCAAAAGTTAAAGTAACTATTTCAGATCAGAGACGTGCATTGTAGCTGTTAAATCTATCGGCGATTGACCGTGACGATGAGACATGCTCTATGCATCATCTGTGAAGGAATGAGTAAGGATAAAAGGATTGAAGTTTTAAAGTTTAAAGATAAAAGTAATAGTGAGATCAAGGGGGAGAATGTTAGATTGATCTTCTAACCAATAAGCCCAACGGCTTATTGGGCCTTGGTCACGCGCCCTGATCGGGGGCGCCCAACCCTACATGGTTGGTGGGCCCCCGTCGCACTACGCTATATAAAGAGGTGGGGGCCGGCGGCTCAAAGCATGAGGTTCGCCGTGAGCCGCAAACCCCACCGACAAAACCCTAATTCCGATCTAAGAGGTGCGCGACCCGGCGTGACAGGAAGCTCGCCGACCCGCGCCCCAAATCTACTGCTTCGCCCGTCCGCCTTTGCATCGACGTCCGTGCAACCTCTACTCCACCCGTCGCTGCCCGTGTGCTGCCTCCATCACCGAACCAGCGATGGCCAGCACAACCGCGACTTCATCTGAAGGCTCAGGTTCATCACCAGCACCTCTCTACCCTATCTCCCTCACGGTGTAGTGTTCTAGGTCTAAATGTGCATGTGCTTCACGGATCCAAGTGTTTATTCCCCTAGATCTACCCTAGTCGATCCACAGAATCTTAACACTTCCCTCCGTGGCACGGCACCTTAACGGGCAAGCTGCAGTGCATCGACTCAGTCACGGCGTAGCCAGCACCCCTGGCTCCTCGGCCTCCTTCCAGCTTCACTGTCCGCTCAATTCGCCCCCTCACTCTTACAGTCGGCAACCAGTGTCTAGTGGCAGAGCGGACTAACGTTGAAGCCATTGGCTGTCACTGCAGTCAGCAGCAGCATCCCTCTCCCTCGGCGGCTCAGCCCTCCTCCCAGCCCCGCTCCACTCGACTCGGCTTCTCCCTCTCCTAGATCTATTCTCTGGTCCAGACTCCAGCAGGCTTCCAGATACAGATATCATTTCCTTCTAATTTATTAAAAATTGAAATAATTTTGATAGTGAAATCTAGAGTGAATCACTGCAATCTAATACATTGTATATTTGCATTGAATTTTTTTATATGAAATACCCAGGTGCAAAATCCTGGCTCCGCCACAGCCAGCTGCGCTTGACCCTCGCCGCCACCATCCGCCTTTGGCTCTGCACGAGCCGGGATAGAGCCGGGCGCCGTCTTGAGTCCCGAGTCCTGACGTTTTCTTCGGCCGACGATGGGTGGTCGTCGGATGACTTCGCTTCAGATTCCATGATGACTGTCTGCAAATGTTGATGAATATTGAATAGTTGAGAAGCCTACTCTTTTGCTTGAAAAGTGTCTTCTATAATTGATATATGACAAACCCAAATATTACTTAATACCCATGATGACCTGCCGCTTTCATGCTAAAAAAACCCCAAATATTGATGCTAAGAAAGTGTAGTTAGAGTTAGAGTGTTAGACGCCGGTGATGAACAGAGTCGATCGATCGTCCACTACGTACAATAAAAATAATATAATTTAATGGTTGAGAGGTACACCGTACCAGAGTAGACTGCCAATCTGGCATATGTAGTGGCGGGATGAGCGGCGAGATTCGCATCGCTCGTTCTATGTGCGAACGTTTGCAATCAAATGGCATGTTTTCAATAATAATACGTGCGTATATATATTGTTAGAGACGACATGGCGCTCATCCAAAGCTATGGACGAGACCAGCATATGCTTTTCACTTCTTATATTACTGGCCATCATTGGAAGAAGACGAAGAAACGCACTTGTCGCCCTGTGTTTCTTGTTCATACTTCTGTACTGTTGCTGATCACGGGCGTTTCAGCGTTTGTCAATACTTGGTTAGCAACGTGGGGGGGCCGCTGGTTTTCCTCGCTCTGATATGCTTTACTCTGGGGCAAGTACATGGCTAGCGGTCTCATATCACTAATAATTTTAGAGATGATGCACTAGCCTTGTGAGTACATGTGCACTTGTCATAGGGGGTGTATATATGGTAAAATTTTGAATTTCCAAAAAAAAAAAAAATTACAAGTCACAGGGAAGGGCGCGGTGGACGATAGTTCTCACTTGAATATATTTCTATAGATCTTGGCAAGTCCGAGAATGGAATACTACAAAATTGGGGCAAACCCCAAAAGACAATAACAACACAACACATAATCGAAAAACAAACAATCATAGACAAGATACACGAGGTGGAACAACCAAGCTACATGCTTTAGCATAACCTCCTATGATGAAAACATCGCAATGATCTTCGAACATTGCACCACCAAGTGACCAGCTCTCCCAAGAATTCCAATTTTCATGCGACTATCAGGCACAGAGTCAAGATCGCCAGACGACAATCATGATGTACATCATCTATAAGCCTGTTTGGGATAGCTCCACCACTAAAAAATGAATCTAGATGGGATTCACCATGAAGCAGCTCTACTAGTGGATCTGAGATCCACTGTGGATCTATAAGGGAACTGTTCGGCTATACAGTAGCTCTAGATCCACGCAAGGGCATTTTGGTTGGAATGGCCTGATTTGCCCTTGGGAAAAAAGTTTCTTCCCGGTTTTCCACTCTTCTTCCTCCTCCAGCCGGCTCGGCGGACCATGGCGCGGCCGGCGGCTACAGCCGGGCGCAGTGTGGTGCGACTAGGCGTGGCCACGACGGCGGGCCTGGGGATGTTGTCGCGGTCGGCGCGAGGAGCTCGCGGTGGTGGCTGTCTCGTGGCCGTGGTGGGTCCAGCGCAGCGACGGCGAGGCTGGGGACGGGGGTGGCCACAGAGGAGCTCGTGACAGGGAGAAGAACAAGAAAGAAACGAAATCTTGTAGCGTAATGAGTGGTGGTGGGTAATTTTTCCCAACTCCACCAAACTTAGTTTGATGGAGCACCCCTTGAGGAGCTCCGTCAAAACGGTAAATTTGGCCCCCGAGATCCACCATTTTGGTGAATGCGGATTTAGTGGAGCTAGAGCGTTTGGGTAATTTTTCGTGGAGCGGAGCCATTTTTGGTGAATTTGGAGCTTGTGGAGCTGTCCCACACAAACCCTATGATGCACATACGGGATCCAATTTAAATCGTTTTTTTAATTTTTGTTTTTTTGCACCCGAGATAAAAGAGGTCGTTGCTTCGTGAATTAACCGTCTCATGAGCCAAAATTCAGAGCTATGAGACATCAAATATATCATCGTATGAGTTGTTATTGCTATGCAATTCACAACATTCTTTTATTCTATGCATAAATTAAGAAATTATAAGTTAATATGAGATAACTACTTAAAAGAAAATAATTGTATATGTTGCCTATCAAGTTGTTTTAAGATTATGTAGCACTGCACGAGACTATCGATTAAACAACACACTAATGTTCTTGTCCTCAGGACAAGCTCTTGCACAAAGCACGGCGTGCCTTGTTGTCCTCTTGTCTCTGCTCTTGTCTCTTAGTTCCAGTCTCCTCCACATGCTGTTAACTCTGTGGAGTTCGCACATGCATGCGCTATATACATCATGCATATCCTTTCGGCCCAGAGGGCAGGGGAGGGAGATATGTGTGCACATAGCACAATATAAAGAGCTAGCGTAGCATATATGCACCAAACGATCGACCACACTACTCCTAATGCACAATACTCTAATACAGATCAGAAGGGCGAGGGCGACAACTCAAGCTTTGGAATTGAAGCCCTATGTCGTCGAATGCAAATACTCAAGCAGGTAAGAAGCAAATATCAATGCCCATTTTGGTCCGCGTTGTTGTGCACTTATTAGTTTTTCTAATTACGCGTTACAACATAGACGTACATTCATCGCTATGAACACGCGCACGCAAACTCTGTCGACGTAAACATCTCTTAGCACTGAAAGCACAACACCATTACATCTTAGAATAAATCTAGGAAAGTGTGAATACCCGTGTCAAGTCTATGGCTTGAATAAACTTGGTGGACATGTTCTACCATAAGGAACCCAACCAACTAAATTACGCTCAGTTTGCCACTTATTAGTTTACATGATTATCTCTAGCGACAAATGTCCTATTTACATTTTGTGAGTTGTGCAAGTAATGTTGAAGTTGCATACGATCTACATACTCCCTCTCATGATAATGTTGGGGAAACTATCTAGGCTAGATATTGAAGCCCCTTAACCTTCCCATTATAGAACCTAGCGTACGTCACGTATACAGAGAGTCTCGTTGCACTGAATTAAAAAGGAAACACCTTGCCTTGTGATTTTGAGATAATGTAATCCGACGGTTGCATGCCACAATTAATCTGTACGTTATCACTAGATGGAACACGTACGTACGCTGTGGGCTAATTAAAATGAACTGTATATCATGTAGATGCAGGGATCTCGGCTGCTAGTACTTCCAATTCCAACCAGAACCAGCCAGCAGCCGCAGCAGCATCAGGAGCCGCAGATGCAGCGGGAGGAAACGTGTCGGTCCCGACGACGAAGATCCGGATGGCCCGACAAGGTCTCCGCGACGTCGGTGGAAGCCAGTTCACACCGAAGAAGGTGTCCATCGGCGTTTACCATCGTGGTCTACATTCAGATTCAGATAAGAATAAGGAGGGTGTGGCCGACAGGATGTGTCCTCTCGATGGTGCAAGGAGAAATCGGTTACTAGATGAGCTGACGAATAATCATCTGAGGAGGAGCAACAGGGGCAGGGACTGGTACCCCGATATTGCTCAGTCCACGGTGGACAGTTATTTCTCTTTCTCCGGCAGCAGAATGCCGCTGCTGGATGATGGGTGCTATGTGCTCCATTTCCTCGTAGAATATGAGGACGAGAGGGGCGTGGTCATCAAAGACCCTTGGAGAGACGAGAACGAGAACTTGGTGATGCGCGACATCGTGTTCCTCCTTGAGAACCAGATACCTTGGTCCGTCCTCAGGGAGATGCATCGTCGCATCCGGAGGAATGACTCCCACTCCGACTCCGACTCCGACTCCGACTCCGACCTCGACAAAGAGCTAGCACACCGTGTCCCGGGCCTGTTGGAGAAGCGGCTCTACACCATCAGGGGAGAGGGGAGGCGGCGGCCCCTTCTTTCGTCGCCCGCCCCCACCCACCTGCTGGACCTCGTGCACCACTACTTCAAGCCAACGGCAGAACAACCTCGGGCGCAGAGGGCCCCAACGGTGCCGGAGGCGACCGCAGCCCCATCGGCCGCTGCAATAGCACAAGAGGCGACTGCGGCCCCATCAGAGGCGGCCACGGCCCCATCGGCGCCCACAGCGGCCCCATCAGTAGCCGCAACAGCGCCGCTGGCGACCGAGGCCGTATCGGCCCCAACAGCGCCGGAGGCAGCCTCGACCCTATCGACCCCAACAGCTGCCTCATCGGCCGCCGCAACAACGCCGGAGGTGGACGCGGCCCTATCGGCCCCAACAACGGCCCCATCAGAGGCCGCCACAACAACACCGGAGGCAGCCGCGGCCCCATCGGCCGCCGCAACAGCGTCGGAGGTGGCCGTGGCCCTATCGCCCCCAACAGCGGCTCCATCGGCCGCCGCAACAGCGCCGGAGGCGTCCCCGGCCTCATCAGCCGCAGCAATAGCACCGGAGGCGGCTGTGGCCCCATCGCCCCCAACAGCGGTCCCATCGGTCGCTGCAACAGCACTGGAGGCGGCCGTGACCCCATCGCCCCCAACAGCGGCCCCATCAGCCGCCGCAACAGCGTCGGAGGCGACCGTGGCCCCATCGCCCCCAACATCGGCCCCATCGGCCGCCACAACAGCGTCGGAGGCGGCCGTGGCCCCGTCGCCCCCAACATCGGCCCCATCGACCACAGCAACAGCTCCGGCAGCCGCCTCGTCAAGGGAACCAGAAGAACATCGGGTGGACATCTCCATGTCCCGGTGGCGCCGGGCGACGGAGTACCGCAGGTACGCCTTCGTGAAGCTCAAGCGTCGTGACTTCAAACAGGGCGTAGTGGAATCCGTCCTTGACGTGAGCCTTGATGGACGCACGCTGTGGATCCCTACCCTGCGGATCGATGAACTGACATGCACCATCCTACGCAACCTGATCGCGTTTGAGGATCGGATGCGGATGAGCCAGAGGCCCGTCACGGCCTACTGCCTCTTCATGTCGCAGCTGGCGTGCAAGGTGGAGGACGTTGAGCTCCTGCAGCGCTTAGACATCCTCCAGAATTTCCTCCCCACCGACGAGGATGTCGTAAAGGGCTTTAGAGACCTCTGCAAGGGGGTGGTCTTCGAGGTCGACGACCCCGAAATGAACTACCTCAACGGCACGTGGCACAAGCTGCACAAGCGATGCCAGGCGGCAAACACCTTCTTCGGATTGATCCGCGAGAGGCACTGCAGCAACTCTGTGCGCGGCGCCGCGCACTGTGCCGCAATTTTACTGTTTGTTTTCCAAGCGGTTCAAGTGGCGTTTGCAGTTCTCTCCCATTTCCAAAAAAGTCATTAGTGACTGCTTTCATGCAAGAGGAATTTGGGAACAGGCAGATAATTCTCGAGTTGTCGGCTGTAAGCACAAGTGTAGTACTTACTGTACGTCGGCACAATGTGCCTTCTTCTTCTTCTTCTTCTTCTGCAATGCATGGTCCACAGCCGGAGCATGTATAGATATGTTGCATTGTGTGCGTTTTGCGTGCCATGATCTTGAGACTCGTTGCATGGCACGACAAGCAGTGATCCTGCCACATATTGAGCAATTCAGTTTCCTTTATTCTTTTTCGCGACCCTTGGCATGTTCTTTATTAAGACAAAGTAGAATGGAAACATTACAGAGAGTGAGCATAGGAGGTAGCAGGGTAACAATGATTACCAACCTGCTCCAGCTGCAAATTATACTTACACAGGGTGCTATTACAAACTAAACATCACTACTAATGTAACCTTAACCGAGGCAGGCAAAAGAGCTTAACGGAGGCAGGCAATCCAACCGCCTCCGTCCAAAGGTCACGGTTAATCCGGCCTTAACGCCTCGGTTAATCAATTAACCGAGGCGGACGCCTCAAGACAACCACATTGGTTAATGCTATTAACGGAGGCGGTTGAGTTAAGTAGCCCGCCTCGGCTAATAATTTCACAAAATAAAAAAAGACACCGAGCCCGGTACCACACGGCGTCGTTGCCCGTGGTAGGATCCACGCCCCTGCAAATCGCCGGTGGCCTGATCCGCTCGGTGGTGGCCGGATCCGCGCCCCCACCCCTGCTGGCGACTGGATCTGCGCCCCCCGCCGCCTCCAGTGTACGGATCCGCTGCCGGTGGACGGTTGGAGGCCGGATCTGGTGGTCGACGCACGAGGGACGGGGAAAGGGCGTCGTGCTTGGAGGAGAGGGAGGGGCCGCTGTGTTGTGCTCGGAGAAGACGCACAGCCGACGAGATCCACCGCCCTAGATCCGTCGGGGGGCGCGGCCACCATAGATCCGCCGCCAGGGAGCCGCCTCGTGTGCCACGGTCGTCGGTTCGGGCCGCCCCTTACGCCGCCGTCGCCAGTGTGGGCCTTCCCACGCGCCGCCACTATGTGTGGTGGGCGCCCCATAGCCCGTCACCGCCGGAGGGGGCTGGCCCGTGCGCCTCCTCCTCCCCTCTACCGCCGCGGGGCGCACGACCGCCAGCCGCCTTCGCTGCCTTCACGCTGGAGAGGGAGGCGTGCGTGGAGGGTGGACCGGAGATAGGGTGCTTGCGTGGAAGACCGATGGGAGAGAGACGAGAGAAAGACGAGAGAGGGATAGAGGGACGACAGACGAGACAGACGATTGAGGGATAGACGGACGACAGACGAGACAGACGATTGAGGGATAGACGGATATCTCCTGGAAGACCACGTCGTTTCCCATGGGTAGAATAGAAAAACCACTAGCATCGTCTCCTGTTTTGCGTGCACGCGTGGCGAGCTACGAGTGGCCACTAGCCCCGCTTCAGGATCGCTGGCGTGGAGTAGCACACGGATCACCCCAGCGCGCAGCACATTTGTGCTTTCTCACTACGACCGACACGCGGCCCCACTCCCGCTCCTATGCGCCCGCGCCTTGAGGTCTGTATGCGGCGCTGACTCAGTTAATGATCTGTTAACTGAGGCGGTTGTTTGGAAGCGAACGCCGAGACGGTTGCTTTAGGGCAACCGCCTTAGTTAATAGGCATTAATCGATGTGGTTTTTTTACATTACCCACCTGGGTTAAGCATTAACCGAGGCGGTTGCTAGGCCGGCTGCCCTGCCACGAATAACTGAAGCGGGCAACCGGCCCAACCGCCTTGGAGCCCATTTTCAAAACACCTTGTAAAAGTTTTTTTGTGTAGTACGGGCGACTATAGAAAACAACTGACTACTACACCTTAGAGCAGCGCAAGCAACGTGCCTAGCTTCCTAAAGCCAGCCATCATCCACTCCCTTGCCTCCTCCAAAATCTTCGACAGTAGCTGCATCGGCTCTGGCTCTCCAAACGTTCTTGCATTTTGTTCTTTATTTCAGATGGACCAACCAATGAGGAAGAACAGAGCGTCGAAGCCCGGTCTTGCTACCTTGGGGCTTGGGCACCGCTTTCATCTCCTACAGCCACCAACTGAAGATTTTTTCTACCCGAAATGAAACCACAAGTCCAAGTGCAGCTTCCTGAGCACCGTGGACCAGACCTCTCTACTGAACACGCATCCAAGAACGAAGGAGGTGGTCTATTTGGGAACACAAGGTTGATACGTACTACACTGTGATTCGGATTTGTGACGAGTCATTATCAACGTGATTCATGTCTTGGGTTGAGTTTGTGGACTAACCGTGGCTTGAGTTGGGTTGTGCAACATGTCTCTTGCCTTAGTGGTGCGCAGCTGTGTAGCTCGGAGGTGGTGGTCGACGGTGAAGTGAAGGTCAAGTAGGGACATGCCGTGCCGATGGACTAGGAGCGGTGAAAGACGAACGTGAGGCTTAGACCGATGGACTAGGAGGTCGGGTGACCAGCCGCGGTGGCTGACATCTGGGGACATCGACGAGCGCAAGTGTACATGGATGAATGACCGTGTTGATCGAGTGAAGGCGGTGGTCGAGCAAGTCGAGCGGAGGCTCTGGAAGACTTGGTGGCCGAGCGGTGACATGCGTCGAGTTGCGGGGGACGCGTATGGAGTACGCTACTCGCAGACGGTTTGGTGGGTTGAGCCTCAAAAACAAGGGGTCGATGGTTTTGCAGGTTTGTCCTCAAAACCCGGATGGAGGTTTCCGAGGAGGAACGGGGGCGGCACGTGGCGGAATCACAAAGGTTGCGTTAAGACGAAGCAAATCTGTGAAGGAAGTGTGGTTGTCCGATCGACAGAAATCGGGTTGAACCATAATGCCCTCAGGCTAGGTGGTTCGTCCTAAAATATCTAAGGATACTCGTGAAATTATATAATATGCCTATAAATAAGATGGGGCTGTCTCCACTCAGCCTGGCCTCTTGACATTTTATTTTCTCCTCTCTAGTGCCCCCTTCTTTAGGGTTTGCTCAATAGTTCCACAGATTTTTCACTCTAGTTTCGTGTTGAGAACAAGGCCCTAACCTCATCTTACCCTCCGGGATTTATCCCTTGAGTCTGCGATTTTAATTTTCGTTTTTAGGGATTTTACTTTGTTCTTGGCTTGATCTGATTTTCACGGAGTTTGGGTCAATCATGGGCGATGATTTTTTTGGATAGATTCGTGCTAAGCTGAGTTTCATAAGTTTCATCTGTGCAAATTTTGGAAACAATTCATGGTGATTTGATCGAGTTTTCGTCAATTTTCTTGGCCGCCCCCTTCTGTGTTGTTGCGTCCGTTTCTGTTCTGCTCGAGTTCGTCGCTCCCGGGCGTGCTCACCGATGCAGGACGGGACAGCAGCGATGGCACCAGCACCGTCCGCCAGGGGCCCAGGTAGGTGCCCATCCGCTCCCAGGCCGAGCCGAGCTCGCCCCTCTCTTTGACGTCAGTCTCTCTCTCTCCCTCCGTTCCTGTGCTGTGAGTTTGGTCGGTGGTGTCCAGTTCTCAGCGTGTTTAGTTTCACCCTAACTTTCAAAAAGTTGCTACAGTATCTATCACATCGAATATTTGCGGTCCATGTATGAAGCATTAAATGTAGACGAAAAGATAAACTAATTGTATAGTTTGGTGAGAAATTACGAGACGAACGTTTTAAGCCTAATTAGTCTATATTTGAACACAATTTACCAAATAAAAACGAATGTGCTACAGTAACCCCAAAATCCAAATTCCTACACCTAAACGAGGGCCCTCACCCGAGCTGCAGATCGTGGTGCACCAGGTCTCGATCGAGACTACCGGTCCTATCACCGCTCTCCACCAGCAGGCAGGCAGCGCCGGCAGGAGCTCTCGCCCAGGCCGTGCGTGGGAGTCCCCTTCCAGAAACGTGCGATCCTCTCTCTCTCTCTGTTTGCCTTTCTGCACGGTGGTGTTCAGATCTCGCCGGTGCTCGCTTGTCTGAGTTTGGGTGTTCACCAGTGCAGATCGGTGTTTGGTACAGCCGGCCTGTGCAGACTCTCTCACTGATTTTTCTCTGACCGCGCCTTGCAGTTGCAGGCAAGTGCAGCAGATCGCTCTTGTCTTGAGCCTCATTTTGATTGGTCAAAGGATTTGTTCTTTTTTTTTGACGCAAAGGATTTGTTCTTGCATACGTGAATTAGGGCTCTGATTTGTCTCTGCAGCAGCGCACAGTGGAGAGCAGCCCCTCCACCAGCGTTTCTCTAATTTCCGGCCAATTTCTGGTTCCAGCTCTCTGAATTTCTGGCTATAATTCCTGTGCTGGCTTTTTCATCTGCAGTTTGCGTGTTTGAGCTCCAATTTGCGTTCCGTCTTTTGCGTTGGCTTCTTACCGATTCGAGGAACTATAGATACTCTTATCATCAGTTGGCTTAAGTATTTTAGATTCGAAAACTCGCTTCTTCTCAATAGGAGTTGAGTATCCTATTTTGTGTTCCTCGATTGGGTGCGAGTGTTTTACGGTCCGTTCGCTTTATGGTGTCCCGCTATGTTCCTAGGGAACATCCACTCACTCATTTTAGTCGTGGACATCACTGTGTCTGCTTCACGTGTTTGGTGGTAATTTTGGGACAGTGGTTGAAAGTTTCGCGAGAAATTTTATGGCTCTCATTCACCACCTCTGGTCGTCGTTTTCGGTCCTTCACCATTGTTTCGGAATGTTGTGCACAGATGATGCAGTTATCTGAATTCTGAAGACCATGTTCGTGCATGGCCAACCAGAAGTACTTCACCCCTGGGTGGTGCGTTTGTCTTCCATCGCCGTGTCCCCGGAGGTCGCGACGACCCGACAAACATGGCTGCATAAGCCGAAGATGATGAATACCTAGCGTCATGTGGCAGATTCGCCTGATTTAATGCGCTCTCCAGGGTATTTGTCTTCCATTAGACACTAAGTACACAAGTGAGCACAATAAACCACACAGTTACGTCGAGCACACCCAACGGGAGAACTCGAAA